GAAAGAAAACCGAATGATACTATAAGTGACGTTCTAGCGTTCAACTTAGTACGTCACAGATGATCACAGTACAATGAGTACAAAAATGGGATGATACGCAGTACGTCGCGTGCTGTTAGGGTAATACGTTTTTAAGACGTTATACAGAAAAGTCATTAAGATGTCACAAAAAAGACGTTTTGAAGACGTCGTTATTTAGTCACCTGACGTCATTCGACCAGTTATGACCAGTTTTTTACGTCATTTTGACGTGAGTCTGTTACTTGGGCTGATTCTTGTGTCGTTCACCTTACCTACTGCGTCACTGTCACTTTGATTGAGAGAAGCTTTATATTGTGTACATATGGTATATCCATATACGAAAGAATATGATTTATTTAAAAGAAGAGAATAGATTCTTTTAAAATATATGTTTTAAAAAGTATGTAGAAAGTATATTTAAAAAATATTTACATGTTTTAAAAGTAAGTAAAATAAATTATTTTGTAAATTTAAATAAATTTTTTTCTGATAATAAAAGAAACTTTAATTTGAAACATAAAAAAATACTTTTAATATTAGAAAATAATTTATTCAGATTTATCAAATGATTTACTTGTGTTTTATTTACTTTTAAAACAAGCAAATATTTATTTAAACAGTTTTTACGTTTAAAAACACTAATTTTCTCCTTGTAAAGAAATCATTTGTTTATTCTTATATATATATAGATATATTAAATCAAAGAAATTACTTTTTTATTTATAAATTCATAAATTTGCAGCTTATTTTACAAATTTAAAAAAATATTTCTTTATATTTATTATATATTTTCTAAAATTTAACAAATATTTTTTTAAGTTAAGAAATTATATGTAACAAAATATATTTCTTTCATTTAAAGAATTTTTTTCTAATGTACATTACCAATTTAAATTTCGATTTTCTTATTTCTTTATTAATTTAATAATTATAAATAATTATATTTATTTTCTTCATGTGCAATATTTATAGAAATATTTACAATATATTAATTTTTTGTTTACAATGAATATTATGGAAAATATTTAGATATTTAGATATTTCTATATTTTAATAATATTTTGAATATAGATTTTCATAATTTTTCCTCTCT